TTTCCTCTCTCTCTCTGTCTGTTCAAGAGATAAACCAGGATTAGGAAACAATCTGACCCCTCTATTAATCAACTTAAAAAACTGGTCCGCCCCCCAGAGCCTGCTCAGTCTGCTGCTGCCAGCCAAGCCCTATCCCATCTATTTTTTACCACTCCACAGTCCTGGCTGGCCCAAATTTATGCAGACTTTGCAACTTACTTTTCCACAACTTGCTCTATACCACACCAGGGATCACTTCTATTTTAGCCTGCTGCTATTGTAGATAAAACAAATCACCAGAAATTTAAGAATTAACTCACACAAATCTCTTACTCAAATGTTCAGCTAGCCTGGGCCTGCTCTCTGGGAACAGCATCCAGCAGAGCCAACAATCCCTACCTAGCTCATCAGCTATTCGTGTTTGAGTGTGAGGCTGCCAAGACACTGGTTCCTCTTCCCAGCACTTCACCAAGCTGTTTGTCAAAAAAGAAATGTGAGAGGCTGCACAGAACTGCTGAGACCTGCAGCCTCCTCCGATGAGAAGGCACTCGGATAAGCCTTATCTTGCTGCAAATTTTGTGGCCTCTCGAAATTAAGTCTCCGCATAGCCACTTTCTCTCAAAAGCTTGCTTGTCTATAAGCTTTTGCCGATTCCTTCGGTAAGAGCAACCCTTTTGGAAGCAGCAAGTTCTTTTAATGCTAGTTTCTCTGAATGGGCTACTCGCACAGCTTCTGCCCAAACAGCCTCTAACATCCAGAATGGAAAGCAGTGTAAAGGCAAGCGTGCTGTCATGTAAATAAATATTTGAGTTTCAGGCAATGACTAATGAATACTAAGAACATTTATGCAAATTATCATAATCAAACTTGAAAGCTTATTTAAAATGTTTCAAGCAGGATTCAGAGAAAGAGCCGGTAAGCACTGTGTTCCCCCTTTATGTCAAACATGAAAGGATACCAGAAAGGGTTTTTGATAAATGAACTGTACTACCAGATATGGAACAGTAGTGCTGTAAAAGTACAGGGCTAAGTTCTCTGCAACTGTAACTTTGCCAAAACCAATAATAAGTACAACAAAATACCTACAATAATGAAATTTATTTTACTTTTCCATTAAAACAGAAAGTATGCTGAAGTAATCACCTTACCCTAATTATAGACCTATATTCCAGTTGCAGGTGGTGCTGCCAGTGTTGCTTACTGTGGCAAAAAATATTTTAAGTTTTGCAACACACATCTCGGGAAGCCCACAAAGGACCTAAGGTTGCTTAATAGCAACACCACCATCACAAACCAACAGACAGACGTCTTAACACTAAACAGCAAATATGCTCCACAAGCAGTATCTCTGTTGAGTGCTATTGTTCAAGAGATGGATTGACTTTGGTGGGAATCAACTTCAGCACTTCTTTAATGGCAGGCTACTGCTCCTCTTAAGAAAAAACACCCAAACCTATGTGATTTCTGTCATCTAAGAAATTATACTTGCCACAGTGAGTGACCACGTGCATGCCTGCACACCCAGTAAAAAAACAAACCACAATTTGTATCATATTTCTACAAAATCAAATATTACTTCACAACTCCACTGTAACTTCACTCCATAATTCTCATAAACTAACACATTTCCTCTAAAAGCAAGTTACCTTTTCTCAAACTTAGGATTACTAGGCATGTTTTTCCATTCAAGAAAGCAGAGGAAAGGAGATGGTATAGGCCCTGATATTATCAGAGGGTGGAGGATGGCTCACGTATCTTGAAATTAGTTAATATTCAGAAATACCACCAACAGTACACGAGCCTCCTCAAAGTCTAAAGAACAGCAAAGACATGTCATTAATGTGACTTCTGCTGTTTAGTTCTTAAGTGACCACTGCTTCATGGAGCAAGCACAAATTCGAAGTCTTCACTGTTGTTGGGTAGTAATTTAGAACTATACAAGGAAATAGTACTCTTGCTTCCTATATTAGGACAGATGTTGCAAAAACTTACTAGTTGTTATGAAACCCAAAATCATGCATAACTTAATATAATGAGCAGCATATACAGTTTTGGATCGAAAATACACAGGATTAAAAGACCATGTAAATTAATGCTATGTTGTAGCACTCTTTGGGAAACTTGCTTAAGACTGTATTTTCCTGTGTAATGAGCATGTTTGGGCACTGATTAATTTTAGAACTACTTTTTAAAGCAGCAAATACAAATGTTGGGAAGACTGACTAACCATCAGTTTATTTGAGGTTTGCAAAAATCTACATTCTGAAAAGGTTTTTGAAGTATATGTATACACCTCACATTTCTGAGGCTCCTCTTCTCTTTTTCCTCAGTCTTCCAGTCTAAGATCTAGTGATTTTAGCTTATCAGTGAACCATTACTTCAATAGCACGGCTGCCTTATTCGGGCCTGCATGGCTCTGTTCGTCTTCACAGATTTAACCCACTTACTGGACCTTGATTTAAGAACTTTGTATCTTGTAACTTTCCCCCCATCTCAATCTTTTCACTAGCCCAACAGAAACAGAATTTGAGGTGATGAAAATTAACAGTCACTGGGGAGTACACAAGTGGTTGTTGACCTCTCCATAGCCCACTTTCCTAAAACCTTGTGGAAAAGCAGAAACTTTGTTACCATAGACAGGTTGCCAGAGCAATCCTAGGTAAGAAAATAGAGTTTGTCTGAATGGTGGGGCGGAAAAAAGTTCTGTTCCAAGATAAACTTTGCTCCAAATTGCATTCCCTTTTAAAATGCAGTTCCCAGCTCCATTTAAGGATGCATCTGCTATTAAAGGGGTATTTTGTGTTCAAAGCAAGAAAAGCAGTTTAAGTTGAATGAACCCCAGAAGCTAGGAAGCTAATAGACAGTACTGTGACATTAGTGGATAGCACCCTGAAGTTAGAGCATAAAGCTTTCAGTTACGATATTGAAACATCTTAGTGAAAGGAGAAAAACACTGTTTAAGGGTTACTAAAAAGAAAAAAAAAGAAGGCTATGCTGCTCTCTTTGTTACTGTCTATCAACATATTCTAGCCTGACATCAGCTATCCAAAAATAATTGCTTCCAGGAAAAGAACAGTTACCACTGGAGAAGAAAATTAGCATAAGACTACTCCCGGCAGCCGTATTTTAAAAGTTCTCCAAAGTCACAGAATTGAGAAATCCATTTTTAAGTGGCAGATAAGCCTCCAGAGGATAGTTACAGTTCTTCAGGCTTCAAGGGAAAGATATTCACCTCAGCCTTTATAAAGCTCATGTACACTGCACGCACACTGCACACACCCTGCTGAAGGCCCACTGGGTGATTTACGTGCTTAAGGATTGCCAGTTAGACTTGCCTCACAGGCCACTCTGTGGATAACAGAAGTGTGCCTTGCTGCTCCCATCTTGATGCTCATGAGAGGGCTCACAAGAGGGCTGTTAGAAAGCCCACATCAGCTGGCCAGGGCTGTTAGAAGCCCACATCCGCTGGCCGCTGCAGGGAATGTGCCTAGAGCTCCACCGGGACCGTGGATCTGAAAGGACATCTCACAAGATTATCAAACAGCTCCCTCTAAAGTCCCAGGGCTTCTGTCCCACCTCAGTACGAGGATCCCTCCCTTGCTGTGAATTATTTACATGGAGAAATCACATCATAGGAACGAAACTTAACATAATGGACATCAAATACATCTGCCCATAATAATAAAATTATAGGTATTACTTAAAACCTTTAAATTTCTGAGTAAGGTCCTTCATTCTATGCATTCTAGGTTTAGGCTAAAAAGGAAGAAAATAGTGAGAATTCCTTACTTTGAAACAAAGATTACCTTTCTACATTAATTCGGCTCATGAAAATTACCATTCCTTATCTTAGAAGAGACATACTTCACATCATTGTCAAAATATGCAAAAATTCCATCTACAAGGACTCTATTTTGTACTTTTCAGCAATGTAAAATGAGACTTGCAGCCATTAAACATTTATGACTATACTTGCCTCAAAAAAATGTAAATTTATTATAATATGGGAATCATTGATGTTGTGCATTAGTTTTATTCTATACATACATCTCATCTTGAGCAAATAAAAAGTCAAGGTAATATAAAGGACTGAAAAACTACTTTTGTAAGTAATTACAGTGCATATTTTTAAACAAAAACTGTATGAAATTTTTTTTAGTACTTTGGTCGCATTTAAGTATAAATTTATCTTAACAGCAGAAACAAAACTGATACATGTGTACACACACACACACACAACATACATAACACGCATTTCACATATAAGTTATCAACATCTTACATTTCTGTTTTTCAAATTTTGTTTCCACAGCAGTATTTAGCTTTATTTTTACTAAAGATTTCTATTAATTTATTTTAGATTATTTTTAAAATAAAAGGTAATACATTTCATGGAAATGAAGCTGTAAAAAAAAAAAAAAAAAGCCTACAACGGTAGAGCTTTCAAGCCAAAGAATTTAAGTGAAAACAGAGTTAAAGATAGTAAGATTGGGACTGCACATGTAAACTTTTATGCAAGAAAACCCCTCCTGTAAAGGTAATGTTTATTTAAAAGGAAAATGACTAAGTCCTGAGAATAATCGAACAGAACCATGTTACTGGAATACAACAGACGTGTTCCCATGCCGACAGTCACAAACAAATTGCTTCATACTTGCACTAAGCTAGCAAACTTGGAATAGTCCTCTCCACCCATTCCAAACTTAATATTATTTTCTTAGAACTGACGATTTTTTCAGAAGCATACTGTTTAAGAGTCCTGATTAATATTATCATTTAAATTAGTATGGTAGATAAGTTTATTTGTATAACTAATTGACATAAGGAGCAAGTGTCAAAGCCTTCGCGCAAAGATTTCAAATGTCAGAGTGCTGAATATATATGCTGCATCGATTTAACATTTACTGAAGTCATTTGGAAATATCATGTTATGGAAGATTGAGAGTATACCAGAAAATCATCAATTAATCCTTCTTCAAAAAAACCTTTGATTAGGACTTTCATCCTTGCTGTAACTACGTGGCATAACTATATATCTTTACACAGTATACCAATGGTTGACTCCAGTGTAAGAGAAAAACCAGCAAATACAGATCATTTAAATGGGAATAAGACAATTTTAACCCCTGTTGTTTACATATCACTCATATCTGATTTTTAATGGAAAATTAACATATTACATGGACTATTATATATGAACTTAAAATTCTAAGTGTTTTTGTTTTCAAGACGGTATTTTAGTGTTATCTAGGTGAAAAGTGCTAGAGCTTATATGTGTGTGTTGGATAATTCAGTTTTCTATCACAACTGATGACTGAATTAGTGCAAAATTTTGTGCGTGCAATTTTTTTTTATATGGTATGGTAGACAATACTATGTTCAGCTAATTTTTTTTTTTAAACTTATTACCTACACCCAACTCAGTTTAAAAAAAAACTAAGAAAGAAATTCATAGTAGAACTTTCAGACAATTCAAATAAAATAATTTTGTGTAAAACATATTTATCTTTGACTTTCCTTTCTACTTTTCCCCCTTCAGGGTGCCAGAAATATGAAATATGAAACTGCTAATGTAATTCCTAGCAAGAGGTATTGCTACTGTAGGAGAAAAAGAAAAAAAAGTCAAACATTCTCTTCATATGTATTTGGCTATCAACTTCCTAATGCTTTCATTTTATTGAGAATAGATATTGATGTCCACTCAAACTTTCAAATATTTTTATAAAAAGTTAGAAAAATATAGTCAAAAATTTGTTGCATAACCTTCCTATATTCATTCTAACATACATGAATCTTACAAAATGCTTTAGAATTAATTGTTAGCTGCAAAAATACCAATCATTGCTCAGTACCTGGAGAAAGGATTTGATGAGAACACACATTCCAATATTACATCATCCAAAGGTATTTTTCTTCAAGTTTACCGCTACGCATTTTAGCAAGTAAACCCCCAAAATACTCAGTACCGTGTTCATATGAGCATCCTTCAACATACATACATTACTTGCTTTCATGCTAAATCTTGAAGAAGTGCTGGTGAATGTGAATAGTAGCTAACAAGTGAAGTAGAAAGTCTGACGAACTAAGTATGACGGAATTAACTCCAGGTTTAATTGCCACCAAGTTCTTATTTTGCAACAAGCTGATAGACTGCAATTAATTTTCCTTCGAGGGCAAAAACTGTTTCAAAAAACATTTCTTGATCGTGTTTTTTTAAATGTTATCTGCGATCCGGTTAAGCAATGACATCATGGGCATCACTGTTGGGTCTTTGGCGTACAGTCAGTGGGGGCAGAGGTTTTCCATAGAAATCTGCATAAGAAACACCAGAGAAAGAAAACACATTAATCTACCATTTACTGTTTCCCTTGCTTAAAAGGCTGTTTAACTCAGAAAAATTCATGCTGCCTTAACAAAAGGTAGGTAGCCTGCAAGTTTAGAGCTAATTCCTACAAGCTATCTCCAAACACAGTGCTAATCAAGGTCCAGAGGTATACTGGTACATTTTATTATGTACGCATCAGCATTTGCAAGATCAAGCCCAAAAGTAATTTATAAATATTCTTAAAAATAAGAATGTGCAAATGTGCAAAGAACAATTGAGAAAATGAAGTATCAGAACTGGAATGTTGCTATAGCCAAGGCTGCACTGCAACACAGTTTTAAGTGACAGTAACTTTATGCAGCATCCAGAATTTCAGTATGATTTCTACATGACAGCTATCCTGACAGCCCTTCTAACTTTCTAAAAGAGCTATCTTAATTTTTAGCCGTAAGTGCAACATTTTCTGTGGCAAAAAGAGTTCAGGGGAAAATGGGAAAATTGTTCAAGAAAAAGTTATTAAGTACACTAGAAGAGCATAAGAAGTATTCTCAAACATATGTTATTGATATAAAAAATACATGCAGACTGGTACATGCAAAACATTTCACAAACAGAAGAATATCAAGATGGTGACTGAAAACAGGTAGAACTTAAGAAAAAAGTAAAAGCAGCTTTTTGAGGCATTCAAATCTCAATTTCAGTTACACTGACCACCACTCCCCTAACAAAACCTTGAACCAATGGTGGCCTGCCAAACACAAAATTCCGCTTTAATAAATGATAACTGTCCACATTCTAACTCTATCTACCTATGCAACAATCAGCATTTCTAGGCTAAAATTAACAAAAGCAAGCAAGTTAGATAACATTACTGTAAGACTATATGTACATGTTTGTAGGATCAAGGCTTTAGTTATCCTTAAATTTCTTCAGTAAAATAACATTTTTGTAGACTGTCACAAATCCTTTGACTTCAAAAGTTGATTCAGTGTTACAGCAGCATGAGAAAAGCCACAGAACTGCTGTTGATATAATGATATCAACATATCAACATGAACATATCATGATATGGTATATGAAAACTTTTACAATGACTGTTTCTATCATGGCCTGTTGCTTAAGGTTGCTAAAAAAAAGGAATTTTAAGAACAGGACTGTCAGACAATTTCAATTCCTGTAACGAGAGAAGTTTATCATTCTTGCAAAAATATCTTCCAGTGGTAATAAATTGACAGTCATTACCAAGCATTGTGCTAGAACCATTAGCATGGCTGGCAAATTGCAGTCTTTAATAAAAATAATTGTATAATTAAAGATTTATATAATTAACTATACTGCCTGTCAACTCTGCCTAAACATCCAGCATAATGTTCTCTGATATGAATGACACATAAATGACTAGATATATATCCTAAACAGCCTGATCACTAATACTTACATTTTTCAGTTTGCACATTAAATCATTGTTAAGACAAATTTATGTCTTTGACAGCTTTTAGTAGTAAAAAACAGACCTCTGCAGGTTGTTTTAACCTCACACTACACTGATTTTATATATTTCAGCAGTAATGTCACTACCACATATCTGTAACACTTTCAGAAAAAATCATTGAAAGATTAAAAAAGAGAAATAACTGCTGTCCTAAACTGACAGACTTTCACTAGAGTGCATGGGAAAATTGAGAAACACTTATTCCTGTGGTTTTTCATGGACTCACAGAAATCTATAGTACAAAAACTCATATTTGTTCTGAAGCTTAAGAAAGTTTAGATATTTGACTTGCATTCATGAGCTATCAAATTGTTCAGTGATATACTCTTGGATGTGGAGTTTGGCCAAGAGTACTTCAGAAAATAACGTTTAAGCACAAACGTGGCTCTTGAAACTTTTAAAAACAGACTGTTTAATTTTGACTGTTTATTACTTTTTTCTTGCCTACACTACACTAACAACTTTATCTGGAGCCCTGCCAAAAGCACCCATGGGCATCCTAGAGGTATTGTGATTTTTCAGTCTGGTCCATATGAATCCCACTGTAGGTGCTCATTTTGCCCCACATACCAAGGCGTTCTAGCCACTTAGCCAATGACTGTTTGACAAAGGGAAAGAGGTCTACAAATTTCAGTATCAGCATAGAAAAGAGTTCACCCCTTATTAAGCCTCAGAGGATCCAAGAATCCACACAGAAGAAAGCCCTACCAAAATCCCAGGTAAAGGAAAAACTTTCACTGCAGATCATGCCTTCGAGACATTTATGACAACTGATCATGAAACCAATAAAGAAACCAGACTTTCTTATTTTATAGAAGTTGAATGCCAGAAGAACTTGAGACCACATTTACAGTGAATTTTAGGCAAGGCTGGAAAAATAAAAAAAAAAACCCTAAACTGATTTATTACTCTGCTGAAGAGACAACTCACAAGAAAGTTGGTTTTCAGGAAGATGCAATTCAGAGAATGTTCTGAATAATGGATCAAATTTAGGCTCCACTGTTCTTAGGAAAACTCTAATGAGTTTCCAAGCAGAAACAGGTTCTGTCTCCGAAATAAGTAAAACTCACGGAAAAACACTACTAGGTGATGGAAAATGGGCAAAGACAGATGTCAAGCTAACAATCAGTGCAAGATGGATTTCAAATGGTCCAAGTGAAAAAACAACTGCTTCAAGCAAAATAAATAATTGATGCTCCTTGATAATCATTACCTAACTAAAGTTTTGACAGTGCTGGACCATGCATTTCAAGAGCTCTCTTTTCATTTATAAATATTTTTCTAACAGATACTTTCTTGCTCTCCAGGATTTTCTGTATCACTTACTAGATAGCAACTTTTTAAATACTTTTCTCTATCACTTACTAGATGCAACCTTTTAATAAATCATCAATTACTGACCCCACTCCCATTCCTTGGTAAGAGCAGCAGGGGTGAATCTTTTGAGTAGGTCAAAAGAATGGCTTCCCATATAAAACCGTGCTGGTAATGATTTGGCCAAGGCCTCCTACCATTCTGCAACACTTCTGCCTCTCCAATGTCAGGAAACTACAACTAGCAAAGAAAGCTTCTTGTTGCTTGATATGAAACACTGAGTGAGTTTTGCCTATCTTTCACCTATGTGTTCCAAAACTTGGGTGTCCTCAACAAGAATATGCATGCCAAATGCCCTACTGAAAATCTTGCAGGAGAAAACAGTTGTTGAAAAATCTAATAGCATTTATTTTGTGGTGGTTTGAAAGCCACCGTTAAAGTAGTCATTAGCACGAAAGCCTTAATCCTAGAGTGAAATGGCACTATTCAAAAACGGTACAGCAGGAGAGAGATGTTAATGAGTAACTTCTCATTTTTCTGTATGCAACATCCAATGCAGGGAGAAAGCAAGGATTTCTTCACAATGTTAGTTAACAAAGGAAGATTTTGAAGGCTCATAGAAAGAGCCTAAGGACAGAGTACCGAACAAATTCCACACTGACAGGTTGCTGAAAATGATCTTCAGTTTCTACCAGATGAGAAACAATTTGTGTAACAAAAATCCCTCAGCACAGGGCATTTACCACTATGCTGATCAATACAATTCCTGAACTTCCCCCTTCCCCCTCCAAATCTCTGAGAAAAGTACAGAAAAACAATGTTTTGAATTCATCTGCAAAGTTCTGAGCACTAAAAATTTCCTCTGACCTCAGTGGTCACACCTCTGGTCAAGAGAACTTTATCCTATCAACATCTTTTTCATCGCTGGATTCCAAAATACTCTAATTATTATCCCTGTTTTATAAATGGAATAAAGAAGCAGCACAGACCTCAGGCGATTAAGGTTACACAACCTGTGAGTTGGGAACCTAACTTATAACTATTTTTACCCCTTGTCTCACCCATGCTCTTACTACAAAATGCAATCTATTTAGGCACAGATCAGATAAAAGCAGAGATTATGACCCCTTCCCTTTCTTCCCGTCCCTACCTCTTTGTCTGGCTTTTCTTTCTTGCCTTCTTCTCTCTATACCCTTTAAAAAAAGAGCAAGATGGTTTTATGATTAAGAATTTCTGAAATACAGACTACAAATTACATTTTACCCACATGAATTGTGTTCCTGTCAAAAATAAATATGTAGGTTTTAGAGCTCTCATTTGCCCTTTGGGCAACTTCTGATTACTTGTGGGTTGATTATCCTTCGGCAGAATAAATGTTCTGCGAGTGCAGAGATGCTCCATGTTCTAGTGCTTCAGGACTTCAGCAGGTACGTCCACACGGTACTGCGCTACATGAACTAATCAGCTCAAGTCAAGGCTAAGCTCAAGGATTGCTGCAGTCACATCGAGCTCTTCTCTCTATAAATTCCTCAATTAAAGGTCTCTTTGTCCAATTTGTATGAGGATGCCCGTTGTTTTAGCTGGGTTATCCTCCCCTGATGTTACTCCAGATGGTCCCGATTGTCTCCATATTCACTTGGCTTCTCAAAACGTGAAAAGTTATAATGTAACAAAAATGAAGAATTTCCTCTCTAAAACTGAGACGAAGACACAATATCAGCTTATAAAAAACAATCTTCCACGGTCTTCCATAAATGGAAAATAGCCATTATTAAAGAGAGAAAGCATTCGTATCAGAAATCTATGTACTACACATTGACATTTCCAGCTATTAAACTTTTTTCTCCTACCAGTCTGTGAACTTTCAGGGACGCTGGCTCTTTAAATAAAGCAGCAGATGCCGGTCTTCATCACTGACATCCCTCCTTGCAGATCAACAACCTAGTTTTCAGTTGGAAGCCCCACCTTCGCAAATTTCTTCTGGGCTTTTCATCAAAGCTGGGTTTCTAGTCCCTCATTTGGAATTTGTAATTGCTAAACATAAATTTAGAGGTGCCCACAGGTCTTTAGTTTTCCTTCTGACAGAAAAACACCTCCAATGGTGTTGACAAAAGAGCTTGCAGACTATACTTTTATAACTGTATAGAAACAGGAGGTGTGGATGGAAGAAAACATGAATTTGCTCAAGAGACAACACATGGAATCAGCTTATACCCAGCAAATTCGTCTGGAAGTGAGTAGCGTTCACAGAACTACAGAAATACATGCAGCCAGTTTGAGATCAATATTGTGAAGTGAATTGCACTTCCAGACTCAGATCATGAGCAAGATCAGTGTGGAAACAGAAAGGCAGCTCAGTGCAGAACCAGCCTGGATGTGGAAGGACCACTGTGGATCCCAAATTAATAAACCCTGGTAACATGATTCTCTGCAAACCTGCTCAGATGTTTCTGCAGTATTCTCTCTGATAAGTACCTCAAAGCTTTTCCACTATCTGGGTAACTCAACTCCCATCCCAAACGCATGAGATAATTGTGAACTGTCTACCTATGAAGAACTGAAACATACTTTGAAAATTTTACTTTGAATGCACTATGTGTTTGGACATTTGAAGTAACTAGTCCTGTTATTTCTTGTTACAATACAGTGCATGTTGTTGCGCAGAAAGCGTCAGGTCATTAATGGCATCCGATATCCCATGCCACTTTTAACTTTGCAAGGGAATCTGAGAGAACTTTTTTCCTTAAAAGAAGAAATAAGACTTGAAAAATCAAAAAGATGCTTTCTACTAAGCAAAAGGGTTAGCTTTTGGTCAAAGAAAATTGGCATTTAGAAATTAAAAAAGATGAAGAGTGAAATGAATCTATAGAAGTGAATAAACGATGGAGAATGCTTTTAAGAAAGTTTTAAAACCCAAAATATTTTAGATTACCAGCATGATGTGTTTCACCAAGAGGCTCAAGTTTTCGAAGTCTATTAACTTTGGGAGTTCCCCAGCCAACTAAAGGAAAACAAAGACAGTCAAAATATGTCACTACACTTGGTTCTGAGGAAATGCATGAAGCTAGTGCTCTTTAGAGAAACGAAACCATTTAGAAATGGAAAAGTATGTAATATATTATGTATCTGCTGTATACCGATGAAATAGTTTTACAATAAGCCACTCTACCTTTAAAAATATTGATATTTTTAATCATTGTTTTTTTATCAGTCAATAGGCAATTAACTGATCGTTTTTTTGCGAAATTAATAATATCTCCTGTGAAACGGATCAAATCAACACTGCTGAGAGTTCACACCATAAAGTGGGAAACTACATGATTCTCACAGAGGGTAAGTTTTAGTAGTACATTTTTGTAGGAAGATCATTTTAGTTTCACTATGTATAAATGAATATTTTAAAGGCTTAATTATCACAAATTGACACATCAATTATAATATATTAGGATGCTAACCTGGTGGAAGAGGTGGAGGTGGCGTAGAATTTTGGGGAACAGTATCCTCTGCATTAACAGGTTCTACCCGGTGGCCCCTTTTTAATTTTGTTTTTTTCTTCTTCTTGCTGTTATCTATACCAGAGAGAAGTAAAGCATTACATACCATCCAGTTACATCTACAGAATATGTTATATCATTTTTTGATTAATACGTTTCAGTGAAATACATCAGCATTTTAAGTCCATACTGAGATACTCAGTTCAGCTTGGTATTGATGGAAACTGGACCACATATGTGACTACGATAAAATGGACCTAGCTTCAGGTGTAACATCAACCACACCAATAAATACACACTTGTTTGATTTTTCATTATAATCACCTAATTATGCATATGTTTGCAATAGATTAAATTAGTATGTGGTACCCTGAAAAGTAATGCAGACATAAGCAAGAACTATCTGAAAAACAAAATTAAATGAAATATAGTAAGGAAACAATTATATTTAGTTTTGCATTTTTACCTGAATCAAGGCATTCTGATGCTTGCTGCTCATTCTCTTCTTCATGCTGCAATTCCTGTGTAGATTTGCAAGTTTCTAGTCTATTATCATTTGGTTTTTGGCTACTGCTAGTGGATAAATGCTGCACATCCATTTGTTCCTGCCCTGTTTGAGATTTCAAGACAGTGGTGGCCTTTTCACTCTCCAACCTTTGCCACTTCTTTTCCTTTTCAATTTGTTTTTCATTCTAACAAAAAGTATAAGACATTTTTTACAACTTTTTAATACTATAAACTGGCTAATAAAGTCAAAATTCCTAAAAGCATTTTTTAATATCCCAAACGTAGCATAGAAAAGAATTTCAAATACTAGGTGAATGAATTAATGGAACAGTTAACATTTCCAATATGCCGTCGAGAAAGAAACAAAAGGATTAACAGCCAAAGATATGATCTTTAGTTTTACAAATGATTGACATGCATAGAGGTTTACAGCCTGATTTTTTTTTTTTGTCACATGAGAAGTTGCTAGCTGTATAAATGACATGAACAACCTTTGCAAGAGAAGATTAGAAAGCTCCTGATTTCTTCCTCTTCAATTCTTTTGTTTTGGTTAAAACAAAACACACACACACACACACAGCTTTTAAGTATCTGGAAAATACTAGCAAGATTTCGTCAAATACCAATTGTGTAATACAGGCTTGATACAGGTTCTATATCACAAAATCAACAGCTTTGCAATACTCACAGCTATATCCTCTCTTCATACTCTGTATGATATTATGAAATCTATTATTGTACAAGTAGCTGACTTTACAAGATATACAGATATGGACTCTTTTGTCCTGGAGAGAAGTAAGCGTTTGAATTACTTCCTGGGAGAGTCTGTGAGAGTTTACAAATGTTTCCTGAAATTATGCCATCTCAAGTCAACTGAAAGAAAAATATGTTGCAACAAATAGAAAGCCAGGAACTACCTGAACCCAACTACAGAGGTTGAGGAAACTTTAAATATGAATCTGCTTTCATATTTCAAAGCTAAGAAAACCTTTTCAATTGTTTCAGTTCAATAGAAAACAACAGGCTGCGTTCAGAAAAGTAGCTGAAGTTGGCAGAAAGATTTTATAGGACTCACCACATCACTAAAACACTTACGAGAAACTAAAGGACCTCAAATATTTTCACTCCTGCATATCCAATAGTTTAATCAGGAAATGTTTTCAGTCATCTGTTTACAATATCTTGCTTTGACTGTGTCTACAAAACTTTCTTGCTCTGAATCAATATTAAGAGGTTTTCTTAACATGAAAGCATTGATTCAATGCACACAAAACAAGACTGCCAAGATAAAAAATAGTACTGTGCTTACAGGCGTATAATAATTTTTTCAAATGAACCATTTTTCTCATTACCTCTCAGACATTTGTTAGTGGTAGGTCTAAAATGATCCAGATTTCCACATATTCTCATACCTCAGAGATTACAGTAGCTATAGGCTGGAAGGGGTTTTCAGAATTCCCAGGGCCAAAGTCTGCCTCATCAGAAATGCTTCTTCCTTCTTCTCTTTCCCTTTGTTGTTATTGAGGTTTTGTTTGTCGTTTTAGGGTTGGTTTTTTTGGTAGGTGAGGCGGGAAAAAGAACAAAGCATTATGAAGAAGGAGAACCACACATTTTACATAATAGAGAAGACTTATTAGGTTACCTAATTCATCCTCCAATTTATGCCAGCTGATTTTTAGACTATGCTTCCATAATTTGAAAATGTTCTACAAAGAGTGCTGTGGCAGGATAACATCAGTAGAGCACAGACACATTTTAAGGCAGAGGCAGAAACACAGGCTGGTATATGCCAAGATGTTCAGTCAGCATTTCCAAAAGTGGAAACACTTTCTGAGGACAGGATGTAATGACAGAGCACTTCTGTAGCTGAAGGGTTTTTGATTGCACAGAGGTATATTGAAATATTCACATCAGTAATCCATACCTTCTGTTACAACAATTGTTTTAAAGTATTCAACCATACAAAAAAATCTACCTGGTGAAAAATGAGACTAAATCTAAAATTTCTTCCTCTATGTTTAATACACCTCCACTTCACCTAATGCTAGATTCTCCTTAATATACTGAAGAGACAACTGGTGACACACTGCTCAGTTTACAGAGTAACAGTTAGGGAATCCTATTTGTTTCTGCTAGACTCAGAAAAGTTCAGAAAGACAGGTACTGCTGAGTGTACTGTTGTTGCAACAGTACTATTTATTTTGTATGGACCACACCTCTATGTAAGAAATTGTATTAAAAGACTAGGTATTAAACAACATACCAATAATAAAATATATTCTTATCAAACACTTCTATTCAATAGATCTGACATCACTTAAACACATGAAGTCACCGTTATGCATATTTTACAGCTGGAAATACTGAGAGGAAATAACCCTGAGTGGCACAGATGGGAATAAAACTGAGATATCCTGATCTACCTATGAAACCACACTACCTGGAAGAAATAGGTAGTACTATATTAAGACTTACTAGCACTTCTTCTCTTTGACTTTCCATTAAGAACAAGATGACTGTTACTAACATTTTGTAGCAGTCTGGGGAGTTATTAAAAACATAGACTGAAATAGAAATTATACTTGAATTAAGAATAACCTAACTCTTCCTCACAGTAAGAAATTGATTTGAGGCAAATAGCCAAATGACAGTTACATGCCATCTCTTAAATCTGAGACAAGCCCTCAGCTACAAGTGAAAACAGCAGAAGTTAGCTTTCCTCAAAGACACAATAAATTTAGCAAAGCCTATAAACTTTTAATCCAATTCAGATCCAACCAATTTTTCCATTGAACACACACAATCAAGAAACACTAGGCAGTTACAGAATGTATGGAAAATGTCGATATCATCGGGCAATCCCTTCGAGACATTTTTCGCAGTCAATCTTCCTCTCTACACCTCCCAACATGGCATAAATCCAACACAATCCAATATGGTCACAGAGTTTGTCTAAGCAGATACACCTAGCGGACTAACAGTGTGTGCACTTTTGTATCAGCTTTGTGAAACAGGTATGAAGACTGCGACAAATTCCTTCCAAGTAAACTGTGCTAATCACAGTTATGCTGCTGAAGTCATTCTCTTGCTAAAGTAAACCAACTCAATAAAAGCACAAGCCAAGAGACTCCACAGAATGGCTTGCAGTACAGTAAGTGAGACCCACAAGTCTCCACATATACAGGGCAGACAGTGAAGGTGCTTAGAAAATTTGGAATAATAACCCAGTAAGAGGCTTCACATCAACCTTTAATACAAAACAGACTGCTGATGGGATTTACGGATTCACAGGGATTTGAAGAAGTGTAATAAATGACTTGCACTGATTCCCCTGTGTCATTTTATGTCCCTCTATGCATCCTCTGCTAGATATCCTGAGGATGACCAAGCACTGCATTGAATACAAGTTCAGCATCTAGTCTTTGATATGAGTTACAGAGTCAGGTCCTTACTTTTAATATGGAGGTTCTTCGTTTGTAAGCTTTAAATCCTTGATAGCTTGGTTTCCATAACCCTCATGTTCAAGAATGAATCGAGTATTTTAGCGTGAGAGAGGAGAGGGAAGCAGGAGAAATTACAGAGAGAATACCTTTCTTCTCGTATTCGTCTCACTCGCTCAGCTCGTTCTTGTTTCTTTTGTTCTTCATATGCTTTTTGTTCTGTAGTGTCTCTTTGGATGCGCTCGTTTAAGGCATCAAAATCTTTTGCTATGATGTGTAGGAGCCAATATAAGCCCTTTTTTATTGATTTATCAATTTTTTTCCCACAGCCCATGACAGCTGAGCAAGGTTCCTGTAAATACATTGAGGAGAAGAGGAAGAAAATTATTTGTAGTTCAGATTAAGTTACTTGGCTAAAAACAAGAACTCAGCCAAATTACTGCTTCCTGTAAGCTTGCAAAACATTGAGAAGTATGCAAAATAAATTTGCATGTAAGTATTCTGTAAATTTAAGAGCTTTTTTTCCAAGATACGAACCACATTACTACTACCAAATTCCATTATTTCCAGTCTCATTCCAAAAACACTGCACAGAAAAATGTTTGCATGTCTTTCTATAAACATATATACACACACATCTGTTGTACATTCACCTAGTGCATGTATATCCATACATACAAATATATACACACCTGTTTCTACACCTATCCATTTCTATGCATCTATCTGTTTAGATATATACATTATCAACCTCAAGCATATGTGTTCTGTCTTGCTGCTATTTTACAATAGCCCAAATTATATTTATCTATTACAACGAAAAAAGCATGTATGTGGCAGGGGGAAATATGATATACGCCTTCAAATATGCAAGGGCTAATTGCAGATGGGAAAAGAATAATTTGTTCTTCATATTCATGCTCAAGAAGGCAAGTATAATGAGCATAAACCAGAACAAAAGAGATTTGGTTAGAGATAGGGAAAAACTTCCTAATAAAAAGCTGTTTTTAAAAACGTAATGCATAAACACATCATGAAATTTGTTACATTGAGTTGATTCTAGTTTAGAACATGGAAAGGATTAGATGACCTCTCAAGTCCTCTTCAAACCTGTTTTCTAGGATCTTTTGGAGCACTGTATGGATCTCTTAAGCTGTTCTCTGAACAATAACTGAATAGGTTATGCTATTTATTTGAAATGAAGGAGGAATATTTCACATTGATTGTGTTCAGGATTTGTTTTCATAACTGAAAGAAAGAAAAAAAAAAGGACTAAATCTACAATGGCAAGACCTACAACTTCTCTATTATCACTACATTTTCAAGCATTTAAATGGTACCATAGTCAGATATGGTACGCACAATTTACAGCAGAAAAAAGAATTCTGACATATTATGCCCCGCAGAGTGCCAATTCGACTTTGTAGCTTAATACAGTCTGAGCTTCTCTAAATTAAGGTTCAAATATGAGCGTTGCTGACCATGAAACACTACGATATTCTCCAGCAGAACCTAAGTGGGGAGAAGATGTATACACAAAAATATTCCATCTCTGTGAGAAGACTAAGATAAGATAATAGAGAGCACTGGGGCAATTTTTTTCTAGGTTTACACAAAGGTTATTGTTGCTTTAATTCAGTTATAAAATATACTCAAGAAAAAGACAAATTCAGTCTTTCTCAGTCATTCTCTCTGAGACCGTGTAGACTGTATGACAGTGAGACAAATGACTCTCTACATTTGCTTTAATATTTTGCAGGGGAATTTAAAGATTCAGAAGGAAACTGATTAAAAGAAAAAGAACAAACAGAAGTTTTTTGGGTGCCTGCCAATTTTTATTTAAACCTTTTTGCTTCATGACTCCCTGTTCAAATTCACCCTATCTGTCATCACACTGAAATACCCTGGGACCAGGTTTACCTTTAATGAGCCAAGCAAAGAAGCGGCCCATTTTAGCAGGGAAGACCCTCAGTTGCTCTCAGCTCAAATTACTTACAGAGTATACCATCTAGTTTCTTTGTCAGTTACACCACAATAAAATTGGGAATGAGAATAACATTTTATTGAAATATGCCATTAATTTAATAATTCGATAGCACTGGAAAATAAGCTAGAATCCTTGAGATCTGTTTATTTTAATAATGCTTTGCAAGAAAATGTTTTTGCCACAGAAATCCCTCAAAGAAACCCTGTCAACTGTATCTTTTATAGATGAACACAAAAAGCTTATATAGGAATGAGTTCCCCCAAAACCTTGCTTTCCTTTTTTCATTCTAGCTTGCTATTTTTTATTTTCATGATTGCTTATGAGGCGTGGTACAAAGACCCTTTACTGAAGAAAAACCCTTAAAGAGTTGTGACATAATGGTAAAGCTATGCCCCTGCTATCACCCAACTTCCTAGAGAAAATAATAGAACTTTGTACTAGTTCATGAATCTTGCAGCTCTCACTAGGAGAATTAAAAGACTTTAAATTTTAAAACCCAAGAATCTGATGGAACTGTTCTGTAAAACTACCCTCCCCTGTTGTTAATAGTCTCGATATAACTCAGACCATCTTTAAAGAGTTTCTTACTGCAATTAGAAAAAGATTATTAAAGTAAACCCTATGAATACTTGGCTAACAGACTGGGTGGTTAAAAAAAAGCCTTAAAAAGACTTCAAGGACTGTTGAATAAATCATCTGTGATACTGATCAATATTAAGTAGCCTCATACAGCTTTTTGTTGGTTTCGGGGGAAAGGGATTGTAAGATTTTTTTTAACATGACTGTGAATACTAAATCTGAAATGTAGTTATTTTAGGATAGATATTAATTAGCTGTAACAGTGTTCTTTTGTGACTACTGCGCTGGGAATTAGATGCCCCAAGAATTAGATTAAGTTCTTACTGCTTGCCAGATGGTAACTCAGACTAAATGATGGTGTTAGCTGTGAACAGAAATGAGACGAACATCACATCTGAACAGAGTGGCCTTTCCTGAATGTCAGCACAGACTGATCCCACTTCCTACTTCTTTTTAAAGAGAGGTAGAATACTAGGCCCGCCATGCAATTAAACAAGTTTTAAACCACATCAGCAATTAATTATTTTTACAGGGTTTCAGAGTACTCAGCAAGTACACTTTGAGGACCCATATAATGCAGAATCGTAGCGACTTCTTGAACAGATCCAGAAGCAGAATGACAAGGTGAATACTGGGATTGTGTGAAAAATGGATATATATATATATATATATATATATGCTGTATCTACACTGGGATGGTAGGGCTCCAAATTCGGTTTTACTCTGGCACAATTTGGCACAATCCTTTACCTCCTTGCAAGCATTACACATACATACAACCTAAACCATTCTGTGATTCTGTGATTTGCAAATTAAGCATCTTAGAATGTACTTACAATTTGACATAGACACTTGTGTTCATTGACAAGCTTTTCCAGAGATAAGGACTCAATTACATCTGCTTCTGACAGAGCTCCTTCTCTGTCCTGCTTATTTGCCAGCCTAAAGGTCAAAAGAAAAGAAACATTCAGCATCCTGACCCAGGAAGGTTAGAAAGAGATCAGATCCCCAAAACCACGTTTTTGACAAAAGTAAAAAATAGAAGAGGAAAAAAAAGAGAAAGTAAAAAGAAACAAAATGAGAAAGCTCGTTTCAGCTTTAATTCTTAGTTATTCTTTCTACTTAATAAAAATGTGTTTGTCCATACACCAGTTTCAACAGAGATACTAAAATTAAATAATTACCATGCACCCATAAACAGAACGATTATATTTTATAGCTAAGAAGATGGAACTGCTTTACGTCCAAGGCTTCGCAGAGCAATCTGTTGGGGTCTATGGATCGAAGTTCAGAACTTCATATGTGCATTCTCCTACATAACGCTGCTTCATGATCATCTTAGGTCTGTATACTATCCAGAATTTCTCTCTGACTCTAAACAATTTGATATCACAGAATCACAGCATGGCCAAGGTTGGAAGGGACCTCTGGAGATCATCTAGTCCAACCCCCCTGCTCAAGCAGGGTCCTCTAGAGCACATTGCACAGGATCGCATCCAGGTGGGTTTCAATATCTCCAAGGAAGGAGACTCCACAGCCTCTCTGGGCAACCTGTTCCAGTGCTCAGTCCCCCTCACAGTAAAGAAATTTTTCCTCGTGTTCAGATAGAGCTTCCTGTGTTCCGGTTTGTGCCCATTGCCTCTCGTCCTATCACTGGGCACCACGGAGAAGAGTCTGGCCCCATCCTCTTGACACCCTCCCTTCAGATACTTGTATGCATTGATCAGATTGCCTCTCGGTCTTCTCTTCTCCAGGCTTAACAGGTCCATTACATATGTAATGTTTTGAACCTGCTTTTCCTAAGGAAACCTCAGAGCTCAGAGGCACAAACTTCCACAAATCTCTCTAAAAGACATACTGATTATTAAATGGAGGGAAGAAAAAAAAGCATATGAAACACAAGTATTTTGCAAGATGAAGCGCCATCATTGTCTTACTTCTTAGAGATACGCTAGCAAAAAGGAACCCAAAAGAAAAACATCTCCTTAATTTTGGGGGACTATCATTCTTGAACAGACTTGTATTCCATATTCTCTGTAACTGCATCCAGCAATACCACTGGTAATATGTATTTTATAAAATTTACAAAATTTACAAAACCCATCTGGAATACCATCCAAGGAATGTTATTTATTCTTTTACACTTTAATATGGGCACAGGCTTTGAAACAGAGGATGTTATACTCCTTTCAACCCTGTTACCAAAGACTATTAGGTACATAAAGAGGGCTGCCCAGCGTTATAAGCGTCCCAGTGCTTAAGTTCTGCACCTCAGCAAGCTCCGTAACACGTTCTAAATACAGACAAAAAAGTTACTTCCTTTTATCAAAACTAATTTTTGAATCTGTTTCACTGAAAACTCCTTTATATCATCTGAGACAGAAAAAGTTTTCAATCTAAAGCCCTATACGGCATAACATAAACTACATGTAAGAAACAGCAAAGATGACTGCTAAAAACTGTGTGGAACCACCTCTCAAAGAAAGGCAAAAACTTGTCACTAATTGGGATTTCCTCTCAGCTATCTATCTAAGTAACGATTTTCATAAAGCTCACAGGACTTGTATATCCTTGAGACCTCAGTTTCTCTATTCAATTGGATTTAAAGTGGTCACCATCCAAGAAAGCAAGATGGATTACAGGCAACATGATTATGTAAGACGCACTTCTTTAGGCTAAAACCTTCTCAGGTATTCCCTAGTGATAAGTATTTATTCTCCCAATAAATTCATTCTACACCTGTAGATTTTTAAATACAACAGAAAGGGATAACATTGTTAAAACTGAAATAAAAGACTGCATGAAACAATTCATAGAAAATGACAGAAAAAGATTAACTAGGTAAGTCTATGTATTCAGGAACGTAAACGTGCAGTCATGTTGGCCTGATTTTCTGAGGTAACTTACAGGCAAATTTTAGTAAGAATTTTAGAATTTTGGATAGAAATCCAAAATATGTTTTTACAGACAAACACATAGGAAACCATTTCTGTTTCTTGGGGATCTGAGAGTTCTGTAAGAAATAAAACTTGACAGGAGAGGTCAAGTCAACAAACTGTTGTTCTCATCTTTAATAAAAAGAGTTGGTGACAACAGGATACGTAGTATTTTCTTTTCCATCAGTTGTTTCTGATTAAACGCTAGCTATTTTTTAGACCCTCCTCCGTAACAATATTGCCGCATGGCAAATCCCTTGGAACTGTCAAAAAGTATTAAGTAATATTTCACCAGCATTAGTCTACTCCTGTTCAAAGCTACTGCGCTTATGCATGAAAACGGGTACTGTTTGCTTTGAACTGACGTAGAATGTTTTGGAATATAACCACACAACGCAATGTGATTTTGTACTTTCTACATAGTCATAATCCAAACTAAGTGCAAAATCTGCAAAGAAACGTACTGCGTAGCATTAGAGATTCTGAAAAATGCAGTCACCTCTCTCTAAACAATTTCACCAAAACAATGTTCTGAAATTTTAGCAATTCCCTTCCATTGCAAGAAAACTCTGATTTAGCTTTCTGGATAAAATCACAAGTGTTTGGCTTCTGTGAACACAATGGCAGATGGTTTTGGAACCAAACACCATATCCTCTCTTCTGAAATCTCACGTCATCATTAACTTACATGCTTTAGGGAATGCTAGGCCAAGGCTAGTATGTTGGATTTATCATATTCCTGCCTGGGAGGGAACAATGGTAGGAATTTACTTCATAGTTAGCAGAGCTCGCCAGCACCTCAGCTTCATCTAACAACTCATACAGACTCCCTCTCATTTTCCAGAACTGCAGTACGAGAACCTCAGTTCTTAATTATTTTACTCCTAAGAGGGCTTTTAACCTCACACAGATGTAAAAAGTGAAAACCGTGTTGCCTTTACAGCTCAAGAAAACCAGCTTGTCACCATTTATCTTGCATACTATGAGATAAATGACCACCACCTCCCCTCCCCCTGCTTTGATAATCCATTCCCATTTCTCAAGGAAGTCAGAGTACAGTACTTTCCGCTCTGTACGATTTAGTGCAGAGCTTCCCTAACCGCTGTTCAACACTTACAGAACCCAGGACATGTTCAGTATGCTTATGATACTCCAGTACTATTCCTTCTTACCAACCAGCCAGAACAAGCAATGTCCTCTTGGTATTTGGAAATGCAACAAGACCATAGCAAAAAAACAGGGAAAAACTAAAATGAAATTGAGGAAAGCTATGGAAAGTAATTAAAAGATTGAAAACAACTACCTACTTCGCTCATTTAACATATCTTTGTCCCAGGTTGAAAATCTTACTGCACTGCCCCCTAGTCTCTCAAAAAGCATTCCTCAGCAGTGCTGTGAATTCCTATCTATATCTGACTGAAGAAGAAAATATTTGAACACAGACTTTGTTGACATAGCCTATTCCTTTCTCACCTCCAGATTAAATGACTGCAATATTTGTTAAGTTATCGGACTACACATTCCTCCAACCACAGCTGAACTAGAAGGTAATGTCAGTAAGCTGTATAGCTCAGTATGAATACAACACTACTGTCCTGTAAGTTACAGTGCCTGCTGAGTTTTAACCTCTAATACAGTGGAAAGCAAAAGATTTCTCTTCTTAGGCAACTATCTTTCATTTTCTTCACAGCGCTCATGTTGCAATAGTGACTGTATTCAATAAATGCTTGTGAAGTGCTGTATCTGGATAAGTAACACATTCAAACAGAGGTCTCCAAATTACGTTCCCTAAAAACCGAAGCGATTTAACACGGGTTATGCATTCCATGTTGACCTCTCCCCCCGCCCCCCCGCCCCTTTTCAGCCTTTGGGTCAAACCTGTAAATGGAGTTAAAACACTTTTAAGATCCTGACTGTGATGAAGGGTATTATTGGGCTGGATTTTTCCCCTCCTTTCAACTAAATTTAGGACCAGCCAACTCATTTTCTTTCTTTCTTTCTTATTTTTTTGGCACTTCAGTGAAGAATAAAGCCATTACTGCCCTTACACTTGTGCTTCCCAGGTAGGCTACGCCACCCGTCCAGCTTACAAGGCCTTTCTGCAAGGAGCGGGTGCCCAACGCTTCCTGCTGCTATTGGCCACCTCTGCTAGAGCACTCCGCCTCCAAGCCAGGCTGGCTTCCAAACAGGCAGAACCAGATTCCCCAAGCAGAGAGTAATCAATTTGCCTGTCTACTGCAGTTGCACAAGGCAGCTGCTCCCTCTCCCTCTCACACCCCAGCTCTCGAAGCCGAACCCCTGGACAACTATTTAAGAACTGGAAGCAGAAGGCACGCAGAAAATATTTAATGAAAGGCCACTCAAGACACATTACTTAGGCAAATATTCAACACAATGTTTCTCAGACTGCACTCAAGCTTGCCCTTAGGAGTTCCTCAGTAAAGGATAAAAGAGAGGCTGCCACCAACTCAGGATTACAAGGTAAAGAGTTTTCTTTTACTCAATGTTTACAAAGTTGAAAATATGAGAAAAAGATGGGGTAGTTCAGTTTAGAAGGGAAATGCACCTAAGTGTCAAAATATACAAATAATGGATATCTGCCTTGCAAAGAATTTGATACTTCTCTAGATGAATATAGTCTCAGAGCTCTATTGCTCATGCACAGGAATGCTAATTTTCAGGGCAAGTTTTATGCATAAAACTTCCTTCTTAGGGAGTATGTCAGAGTTATCTTAAAGGATAGAGCTTGATTTTAATTTTCCAAGTCAGTAGAACTTCACATATAACAATTTTTTGTGTTTAAAAACTGTAGGAGGTATATAATCAAAACATACTTGAAAGTGCAGGAGAGTGTCTGTTGGTTTATCACATTAAATTTACCAAGTGAAAAGCTTCATATATAAGCTCATGCTTGGCTTATTTCAATTTCACAAAAAGTACATTTGGAAGCTTCTTAGCCTAACAACATAAACTTTCTTTTCACAAAAAATAAAGAGAAGGTAGGCATCAACTGCTTTTGTATCAAGCAGGATTTTTTTAAAACAACTAGACAGCTTTTGAACTTAATTTGAAGAGTCATGGGAAACCGCGTGGAAAGGGAGTGTATGTACGCATTGGCACAACTGACATTTACAGTCCAATAACAATATTTCTCTTAAAAACCAAAAGACATGTCAGTGAAAAATAAAGTCTGAATGCAAACTATGTGTGTTCCTTGACCTGCTTCTAACATCTAAGTTACTGATCAAAGAGAAAACAAATCACTATTAGAATTTACTCTACAAGCCAAAAGGTTTGGTGAAAAAAGTTCCAACATGAAAAGGCTACATTTATATCTCAGCTTTCATCAAAAATCAAAAGAGTGCTACAGAAAGGGTAGAGGATTTTTTTTTTCCTTGTTCTGAGGTTGTTTTTTTAACACTATTTCTTCCTTTCCAAATTCTGCATTTCTCTCCACTTGTATGGGACTCTCACACAGTAACACAACACTGAAAAGTAAATACTGTAGGGGCACACTGTCAAGGGGAATCTGTGAAAAGCACCTCAGAGATGCTTCTTTTAGGGTTAAGTTTAATCATAGTCAGCTGCTACAGATCCATAATTTTGGATCACACCTGATTTGCCAAGATCAAACAACTACTTTCTATTTTTTTTTTTAGTTATTTGCTCTAAGTAAAGTCTTTTAACTGCCCATGTTCTAGTGCACGTTGCCGATCAAAATTAACGAACAGCAAAGTAACCCTGAGCCAAAACACTGTAGTATCAGAACTGTCAACATGAGTGAGTACACGCAACTTAACAAAAAATGTATCTTTATGTGAATGATTTGCCTAAGATCAAGAATATTAATCTTTAAGGCTACTTTGAGAAGCCATAGCTTTGGGAGTGACTTAATCAGGACTCCTAAGGTGCATGGAGAAAACAAAGAGGGGAGAGAGGGAGAGAGAGAGAACCTTTGAACTTAACAGCAATCTCCACAAGGAAAAGAACACAATGCCTCATTTTTCCATTCATGGTTTACAGGAAGCTTTTATTTTAAATGTTTCTCTACTGTTTTTCTTCAGGATTTTAACTCTTATCTACTTATTTTTTGTTGGACAATCCTGTGGACAGCAATCAGTAAACTGATTGATACTAGAGAGGTGAGGCCTGAGCAGTTAAAGCAGGAAAAGGTTTATTAGTGTCTTTATATTTTGTTTATGTTAATATCCATGAAACTCAAATTCCTGATCAATAAACAGAAAGAAAGGTGTGGGTGTGTCAGATTTGTTTCTTTGTTTTTGAAGATTTCACATTCTGTCCTCTTTAGTTATTGACCCTATTTTAGCCTGCCAAGGAAGTCACAGAACACACAATTCTTGATATTTTTAACACAAACAAGCATGTACAAAATCTAGCAAACACTTTTCAGGCCTCCCATAGAGACCTTCAGGCATTCTAAGATTAAGCTCTGACTCCTCTCTCTTTTCTGCAGACTTTTTGCAGATTACCTTCACAGTTTTTAACTTACGCTGAAACAACCAAAATAGAGCCTGCTATGAGATTTTAACCTACGTTCTTCATTAGCACTCCACTCTACGAAACAGTCTTAATTTTCAGTACCTTATGGATTGTTGACAACAATTTCAGACCCACCAGCCACTTTCTACTGATTGGCAATAGCATCTTTCTCAAAGACACTGGTTTATTTCATTTCTCTATTTGCTTTTCATGCCTTTAATTCTCAAGCAAAACAATCCTTTGAAAATGAGGATGAGCTGTAATGAAAAACTGGTGACATGAGGTTCTCCAAGATTCTCTGCCTACTAACATCAATTAGGAGTTTGTATACACGTAGTTGCAGGGAGGTAAAACAGACATTTCTCTAATTCAACCTTTCCCCTAACTGGTTCCTCCAGTCTACATTTAAATATAGAAAGTACTTAAATATAAGATTCTCAACTCATCCTGTTTTAGTATCTCTAGGCATCTCTAGAGCAACTCCTCTCTCACACTACCTTTTGAAGTGGTCACAAGAATGACAGCAATCATAATTTGTTTCACTTAGGGTACATGGCCTCATTCCCACCTCAGGTCTGAAACATATTCTTATGTACCAGAAGTGTAATTTCTCTGACACACTCTGCTCTGCTATCAGTTGAATAATGCCTCCTGGCTCTGTCCCAAAGATGTCTCTGATCTCACAACCAGGATACTACATTTGACTTCCAGATGTAGAACTCCCAAAGGCAATAAACAAATAATATTGCCACTTTTTTTGCACAAGATTTAAAAAAAAAAAAATTGTAAATATTGTTCTCTTATCCTTATTTCACCTTGATATGTCAACACCTAGGTAAACAGTAGAGATTTTAGTCAAGTTGCCTATACGATGCTTTTAAAGTGCCTGGAAATTCTTTCATATATTACAGCTGATTTTCAAGGCTACAGTATTTAGCTACATGGTCTGACAGAGATGAAATGGGAATGAAAACTAGGTGGAAATTTTGCACAGTAAAATTTTGAGTCTGTTATTCTATTGTTGGAAAGATAATCACGAAAGAGATATAGTATCCCAATTTTGCAGCAAGTTGCTAACTAGCAGTTCAAACTGTATGTCCTATTAAATGGACAGGATTTCACTTGTCCCTCATGCTGTGCTGTAGCCCCTTCTCTTGCTCCTAATTCATTTTCTAACTCTGCTTTAAAATGTAGCGTTAATGTATCTCACTATGTGACTGTTTGACAAAGGAGATGATGATTTTCTTTGTGGATTTCTGTGACCTATAAGTGGCCAGCATATTTCCACCAGCTGATCAAGTGAAGGTGCTGATTTTTAGTATTATTCCTACCTGAAGTAAACAACAACAAAAAAAAGCAGGCATCTACTCAGAGCACTACTGACATTAAATCTTTGTTTAATATATGAAAAACACCATCAAGATATTAAATAAATTCTTCAGTTTTACTTTCAATCAAGCAATGCCAGTTACAGAGAATAACCTGCAGACTGTTTTCTCAAGAGTGAGATCATTATTTTGTCAGTCAGCACTTGCAGGTGCAGCATGTGTCACTGTAAACGTGACTTATATCAGTGCAAAAGCATGGACTTACCACCTTCCATTACTGAAAGCGTTAGTACAAAACAGAGGAATTGCTATCTGTACACATGGAAACGGTGGTAGATCCCTTTCTTCAAGCCTTGTACATCTGCAGCTGCACGCTCGGAACCAAGGTTACAAAACTACAAGGTACAATCCCACTTTTGCCACAGGTTCACTGTGCATATTTGAACAAAATACTTCACAAATTAGCAACAAAAATAGGTTTATCTAGTTAGAATGTAAGAGAAAGACTGGCAGTTGTAGATCATTTTGAAAGAATAAAATCTTATAATACAGATGGTAATTCACAAACTACTATATTTACCTACTCTACTAATGCTAGAGTCTATGACCTTGTATTATGACCTCTTCACCCTTGGGGCCTTTTTCTCAAATCAGGCAACACCACACAATCAACATACAATAACTCAGACATCTCCTACCACATACCTGCGTTTCACATTTCCAGCCCAACCTCCAAGAATAACTAATTAAGTTTATTTTTTAAGTAACTAAGGTCTATTTTACCCCTCTCCATACTCTGTGCTTACTCCTGCACCATAACTGGCTGCACTTTTCCAGCACTGTTGGACTCACTTTTACCTGTTTTGTGAACTTCTATAATACTCAGATCTGTTTTATTTCATTTGACTATCTCACTTTCGTACTCGGTCTTTCTACCTCCCATAATCTATTTCACACTGGAGAACTCTCAAGCTACCTTGCTTCAAACTCACAACTCTTATGCTCCTCTACAATGATTATTTTGGGTTCACACAGGAGCCTTGTGGCAGGTATGGAGGGCGATATTCTTGCAATGGGACAAGCGGCTAGGTTGTATTTCCTCAACAAGGTTATGTGGTGGTCCATGGCAGAGGCGATCTGCTGCAGATTACTTCCCAAAGGCAAACACTGATAAATACAAGCGACCTTTGCATTTCAGTATTTCTTAATATTAAGAATGAGGTATCCATTGAGATTTAAGCTCCTCTAACTGAAAATGTAGCTGATTTTGCACCATCATATAGTATATACTGATACGTTTTAGCTACCTTCAGTATATAAAATGCATCTTTTTTAATGATCAGAACT